ATCTCCAATCATGATTATGCATCCTATTTTTAAAACAACAACAAACTAAAAAATAAAAAGGAAAAGGAGGAAGGTGAGGAGGAGAAAAAGAATAACAAAAAAGACTTGTGATCCTAAGCATATAAATGGCTCTGAAATTTCAGGAAAGCTGAAAAAGAAAAACAAGGGAAAGGTAAAGGAAGAATGATCATTTATAATATTACTAAATTGGGCCAGGCATGGTGGCTCACACCTGTAATCCCAGTACTTTGGGAGGCCAAGACAGGTGGATCACTTGAGGTCAGGTATTCAAGACCAGCCTGACCAACATGGTGAAACCCTGTCTCTACTAAAAATACAAAAATTAGGAATGGTGGTGGGCCCCTGTAATCCCAGCAACTCAGGAGGCTGAGGCCAGAGAATCGTTTGAAACCAGGAGGCAGAGGTTGCAGTGAGCTGAGATTGTGCCTTTGCACTCCAGCCTAGATGGCAAGAGCGAAACTCCATCTTAAAAAAAAAAAAAAAAGGATTACTAAATTGGGCTACATATCTTTAGAGTTGGTGGGATTTTCGTGAACCTCTAATTCAGAGATCCCCAAACCAGACCACACATTAGAATTCCCAGAGGGCTTTTTAAAAATATTGCTCTGAATAAACAAACAAGCCACTGCCTTGGCCCACCCCATCTTTGACCTACCGAATCAAAATATCTGGAACAGGATTTGGGACCTGCACATTGACCAGCTCACTCAAGGATCTAAAACCAGCCCCTGTCAACCACTAATCTACTTTCTGTCTCAATGGATTTGCCTATTGTAGACGTTTCATATAAATGGAATTATGTAAGATCTGGCCTTTTGTGACTGGCTTCTTTCACTTAGCATGTTTTCAAGGTCCATTCATGTTTTAGAAAGAATTGGTACTTCATTGTTTTCATGGCTGAATTAATATTTTATTCATTGCTATACCACCTTTTGACTTTCCATTCACCAGCTGATAGGTATTAGAGTTGCTTCCACCTGTTAGCTATTGTCAGTAGTATTTCTATGAACATTTGTGCACAAGTTTTTGCTCGAACATCTGGGGTTTTTGTTTATTTGTTTGTTTTTGGCTTGAGGTTTTTCTTTTTTTTTTTTTTTTTTCCAGAGATAGGGTCTGTTTGTCACCAGGCAGGAGTGCAGTAACACCCTCTTAGCTCACTGCTGCCTTGCATTCCTGGGCTCAAGTAATCCTCCCACCTCAGCCCTGTGAGTAGCTAGAACTACAGGTATGGTGCCACCACTAGCCTGGAAATTTTTTTTTAATTTTTCTGTAAAGACAAGGGTCTCACTATGTTGCCCAGCCTGATGTCAAACTCACATTCTCAAGTGATCCTCCCACCCCTGCTTCCCAAAGTACTGGAGTTTCAGGTATCAGCCATCACACCTGGCCATTGGACACCTGTTTTTTGTTCTTTTGGGTATATACCTAAGAGTGAAATTGCTGGGTCATATGGTAATTCCACGTTTAACTTTTTGAAAAACCACAAATATTTTAGCGTTTGGTTTGGTTTGGTTTGGTTTTTTGAGATGGTGTCTCATTCTGTTGCTCAGACCTGAGTGCAGTCATGATCATAGATCATTAGAGTCATGATCTAATCCCAGCATTTTGGGAGGCCAAGGCAGGTAGATCACTTGAGGCCAGGAGTTCGAGACCAGCCTGGGCAACTTGGTGAAACACTGTCTCTACAAAAAATACAAAGTTTAGCTGGGTTTGGTGGTGTACACCTGTAGTCCCAGCTACTTAGGAGGCTGAAGCAGGAGGATCGCTTGAACCTGGGAGGTTGAGGCTGCAGTGAGCCATGATTGCACCACTGCACTCTAGCCTGGGAGACAGAGTGAGACCCTGTCACAAAAAACAACAAAAAATAAAATACTACAAAACAAGTTGCATTAAAATGAAAGTCATCAAACCAAGAATTTAAAAAGGTGGGAGGACAAGTAATAAAAGAGGATGGCAAGAGGGATCAATTTTGTCAGAAAAATTGAATAACAACAGCTAACATTTACTGAGTGTGTGCTTTGTGTCAGGCTCTGCTAAGTGCTTTCTTTATAATCCTTTTTTTTTTTTTTCTGAGACAGAGTCTCACTCTGTGGCCTAGGCGGGAGTGCAGTGGCGTGATCTCTGCTCACTGCAGCCTCCAAATCCTGGATTCAAGCAATTCTCCTGCCTCAGCCTCCCAAGTAGCTGGGACTACAGGCACCCACTACCATACCCAGCTAATTTTTGTATTTTTAGTAGAGACAAGGTTTCACCATGTTGGCCAAGCTGGTCTCAAACTCCTGGCCTCAGGTGTTCCACTCGCCTCTGACTCCCAAAGTGCTGAAATTACAGGCATGAGCCACCTCACCCAGCCAGTGCTTTCTTTATAATTGACTCTTCACCGCAATACTGTGAGGTGGGTGGTGTGGTAATGTTATTAGCCCCATACGCACAGAGCTAATAAGCAGCAGAAGAGTATAGATTCAGATCCAGGCCTCACTCCAAAACCTGAGCTCTGGGCACCCTGGTAGCCAATGCAAAGATGGAAACATCGGCTCTAGAAAGCCCCTACCACAGAGGCTGGCAAGACAGATGATGCCCAGTAAGTTATTTCCCTGTCCATTCTCACATTAACTTAAAGAGAGAAACTTTTTCTTGATCTTGAGCTTCACAAGATTTGACCCTGTGGCTTTGTACAAGAAACACTAATACGACATAGTGGGTAATGTCCCCCGGATCAATGTTACCAGAAATGAAGCAGCATGCCCATCATATGAAAACAGAGGGCATAATGTTAGGGTCTTAATTTATTAAGTGCAGTTCAGTCGGGATCCAGGAGCTCAGACGGTAGATAGCAAGCTTTCACTTTACCTTTTATTTATTTATTTTTTGAATATGGAGTCTCACTCTGTCACCCAGGCTGGAGTGCAGTGGTGTGATCTTGGCTCACTGCAACCTCCAGCAATTCTCCTGCCTTAGATTCCTGAGCAGCTGGGATTACAGCCACGTGCCACCAAGCCTGGCTAATTTTTGTTTAGTAGAGATGGGGATGCACCATGTTGGTCAGGCTGGTCTCGATCGCCTGACCTCGCGATCCGCCCACCTCTGCCTTCCGAAGTGCTAGATTACAGGTGTGAGCCTATGCGCCCGGTCCTCACTTTGCCTTTTAGTCTCTTACCTGGAAATGCTCTATGACAGACTTCTGCTGCCCTCTGATGGTCAGAGCATGAAGCACCCAGCAAATAATTCCAGTCACATGGAGGCCTCTTCTTTGCTTATATGGCTGACTCTGTAGGAAGCTGGGCTTCTCCACACGATTCCTTGACAAGAAGGCTTAACTTGTATAAAAGGGAAGACATCTCTCCCAACTCAAGAGCAACTCACTTCGAGGATACACTCTGGGCCTCCTGCCTTCCTCACCCCGCATATGCTACTTACCAACATCATGCACTGAGGGAGCAGTGGAGGCTACAGGGGCCCATGGTCCTGCTGGGGCCAAAGGCACACGTGGAGTCTGAGATTTCTACAACCAGATGGTCAAGGAATGGGGTGGAGAAGCGGGGAGCTGCGTGGTTCTGATCAAAGTAAAGGTCTTTCTCAGCCCACACTGGAGGACTGGAGACAGAGCCCCAGACATTCCTGCCCACAATGAGGAACCTGAGGAGCAGGGCGGGGGAGGAGGGTGGCTTTTCAACCTGGTCAGAGGCTAATTTCAAAGTACAAGATGAGGGAGTAGGATCGAGGTCCACTGAGACCTGCTCCCAGGTCATTTCAACTCCAGGACTATGCTGAAATGGACTTAAATCCTGAGGAAGGAAAGGTCCTAACAGCTTCTTTAGTTCAGGGTACAACAGTAGAGAAAGCTGCCCAGAAAGACCTGGGGACGGGGGAGAGGCCTGGGAATCTGGCCCCAGCTCAGCCTTTGACCTCCAGCTTTCAAATTTAACCCTTCGAGATTCTCTCTCCCGCCTCTCTCTCAGCCTCCCAAGTAGCTGGGATTACAGGCACACACCACCACACCTGGATAATTTTTGTATTTTTAGTAGAGACAGGGTTTCCCCAGGTTGGCCAGGCTGGTCTCATATTCCTGACCTCAAGTGATCCTCCCGCCTCAGCCTCCCAAAGTGCTGGGATTATAGGCATGAGCCACCGTGCCTGGCCACTGCTGAGTTTGTGTGCCTTCTCCCCCTTGTTTTCATACTGGCATGTGAAATTCTGGTTTCTACCTAGTTCAGAACATTCGTCTCTTTTCAGTAGAGTAGACGTATGTCAATGTTGCCTGGTCTGAAAAAGAGTCGCTGGCATGAGCCTCGCAGTGGCCATCCCAGGGACACCCACAGCTCCAGGACCATGTTGCAGGGAGCTGGGAAGGGCCAGTGTCTGTGTGATGGGCTGCTCAACGTTTTGGCAGATCCCTCCTCCACTGTTTTATCATTTTGTTGTTTATTTAAAAACTCAATACATGCACATAGTTTTTAAAAACTCAGTATGTTATCACATCACCACACCCAGCTAATTTGTGCATTTTTAGTAGAGACTGGGTTTCTACTACTTGGCACAGCTACTCAGAAGACTGAGGCATGAGAATTGCTTGAACCTGGGAGGCGGAGGTTGCAGTGAGCCAAGATCATGCCACTGTACTCTAGCCTGGGCAAGAGACCGAGACTACGTTTCAAAAAAAAAAAAAAAAAGAAACTATCCACTCACCCCTGTTCCACCCTCAGCCGACCTTCTCCAATAAAGAAAGAAGTTCAGCAGTTCTAAAAAAGGCTGACCTCACCCCTACCAGGGCTTGAGAAAGACATCTACAGCAGGTCACTCTCAGTTTACTTTCCACCCATCTCTTCCCTAGCCACACCCAACCCACACTCATTTTCAGTGTTCTCAGAAAGAACAGATTACCCATCTGTCCTAAATATGTAAATCATGTAATCTCACAGGCATGCTGATACCCTCTAGCTCTCCCGTATCATCTGAGCCCTCAAACAGCACAGACAAGAGGTCGGCACCCGCCTTTATTGGGAAAGAGAAGCACCACACACCCAATGCCCAATCCAGGGCTGTTTCCCACCCTCTGGACAGCAGCAGGAGGAGAAGCAGAGCAGAGAGGGCCATGAGTGCCCCTGGAAATGTCACAAGCCCCAGGATGTCACCCTCTCTTTACTGCCAGGAACAGCTTCGAGAGTTACCAAAGAAGCTCCAGACAAATCAGCACAGCTAGGGCACCAGGATCTCTGCAAGCAGAAGAAATACCAAGTCACAGCTGTGCCCTCCTGGCTTCAGCTACCCAACGTGTTTCCCCTCCACCGTAGGAAAGTTTGGCCTATATTGTTCTCAGAAGTCTTAAATGGATCCTTAAATGGGATTGCTTCCCAGACAATCCAATCCCAACTAACACTGTAGGCTCTTATTATTCAGATGTCAATCTTATATCTCCTGTTAAAAAAAAAAACTGGAGATACGGCCGGGCGCAGTGGCTCACGCCTGTAATCCTAGCACTTTGGGAAGCCGAGGTAGGCAGATCACCTGAAGTCAGGAGTTCAAGACCAGCCTGGCCAATATGGTGAAACCCCCATCTCTACTAAAAATACAAAAGTCAGCCAGGCATGGTGGCAGGCACCTGTAATCCCAGCTGGCTGAGATTACTCAGGAGGCTGAGGCAGAAGAATCGCTTGAAACCAGGAGGCAGAGGTTACAGTGAGCTGAGATCATGCCATTGCACTCCAGGCCTGGGTGACAAGAGCAAAACTCCATGTCAAAAAAAAAAAAACAAAAAACCTCAAGGTATGTCTGTGCCTTTACCCACCCTGCCCCCACTTCTCCCAAACACATCACACACATTCCCACTGTGTTCCTGTGCCAGCAGTCACCAGATTACCTGTCTGGCATGTTCCTGTGCTGTCCTCACTTTGTCACATCTGCCTAGGCTTAAGGACCTCAATCAAATCCCACCTTTCCCACGAAGACCTTACCAGGGAGCCACACCTGGGAACAGGTGCCAGCCTGTACTGTTTGTATGAGGGTTCTCATCTATGACATAGGTTCTTTCTCTCCAGCCAGACTTTTCCTGGCCTTCTGAAGTCCCCTTCCCAGCACCTAGGCCTGTGCTTTGCACACAACAGTTGTCTATTATTGTTGATGACAATGGACAGTACTCACTTAATTCAGAATCAGACCTCCCAGTCCAGTTGGCGTTCATGGTCAGTTTTGGGGACAGGACTGGTGGGGCACAGAAGCGGCCACAGCCTGACTTGCAACACTTTTCTCCAGCTTGACAATTCTCATCCATCACATAGCCGACAATGCACAGGCCCACCAGAACTTTCGGACAATCACCGTCCCGCCCTGTGGGAACAACAGGCACAGGTAAAGGGACAAGACATCAGTTCTGCCATCTCCATGTTCCCATCTAAAACTTAGACACAGAGGCTCCAGGCCATTCAACCCCTGACCCTAACTAGACCCAACTCAGCCGGCTGGGAAACCATGGAGTTAGAGGATCTGAGAATCTTCGGGAACCCAAGAGACCTCTGAGCCCACAGTTTTCAAATGGTGCCCCAAAGGGAGTTCCCAAAAGGTAACTTGGGAATTGACACCTCTGCAGGTTTGGGGTGGGGGTGGGTGGAAGTATGTCAGGGGCTAGGCTCCCAGACCACCACCCTCTCCCCTTCTGCTTGGGATTCACAGAGTCACTGCCTCACGGTGGACTCCTCTGCCACCCTAGACAAGGTTTGATGTCCCCGCTTTGTGCTCCTGTAGCACCCCGTATGCTTCCTCTCATAGAACTTTACGGTAATTCATTAATTCCCTTTATGGTAATTCCTTATTTAAAAGGAATATGTCTATCTTCCCTGATAGGCTATAAGTTACATAAGAACAAGAGTCTGTCCTCAGCGTTGAGCATTGCCCAGGAATCTAAAGGGACTAAGATAGCACCAGGGTCAGTGATTCTTTAACGGAGAACACAGTACCTGGCACTCAAAGTATTTGTTTTTTTTAAAATGTTGAAGAAACAAAGGAATTGGAACAGGAATGCTTTTATCTCTTCATATATATGTTTCCAACTAAGATTTTATTTGGAGTAGGGGAGAAGCTTTTTGTTAAAAATTAGATCTGAAAATCAGTGATCTTGGGCATTGATTTTACAGATAAAGAAACTTGGGCTAGAAAAGAGAGGTTTGCAAGGCTGGGTGTGGTGGCTCACGCCTGTAATCCCAGCACTTTGGGAGGCCAAGGTAGGCAGATCACCTGAAGTTGGGAGTTCGAGACCAACCTGACCAACACAGAGAAATCCCGTCTCTACTAAAAATACAAAATTAGCTGGGCGTGGTGGTACATGCCTGTAATCCCAGCTACTCAGGAGGCTGAGGCAGGAGAATCACTTGAACCTGGAAGGTGGAGGTTGCAGTGAGCCAAGATCGTGCCATTGTACTCCAGCCTGGGCAACAAGAGTGAAACTCTGTCTCAAACAAAAAAAAAAAAAAAAAAAAAA